TATATTGTATTTGGTAGAAGGACACTCTCTATACATTGGGTAAAGTGACAATCTCCGGGGTGCCACTTTTTCGATTTTTCGGAAACGCTCTGATTTTTACAGGTCATTCCGATGCACAGACCGAGAACAATCTTCATTCTCTTTCGAGGATTGCTCATGAAAGTGCCCTAATGTGTTGACTTGTTTAAGGCTCTTGGTTAGAATCCTCGCATGGCTGCCACTTTTTCGATTTTTCGGAAACGCTCTGATTTTTACAGGTCATTCCGACGTACAGACCGAGAGCAATCTTCATTCTCTTTCGAGGATTGCTCATGAAAGTGCCCTAATGTGTTGACTTGTTTACGGCTCTTGGTTAGAATCCTCGCATGTTTTGGCTTCTAAAGGGAGTGCTGCACCCTTTCCCCTCGGCCACTGACTGGGGGGAAACCCACGGATCCCATTCAGATTTCTTCCAACAGAAAAATGGCAGCCCTGCAATCTATATCCATTTGGTAAAGCAAGAATCCTTAAAATGTTGAACTCGGATGGTCAGCCAATTAAATTATGGCGAAAAAGGAGAAGGACATTTTGTCGCACTCGCTGACTGTGTAAGATCTGGTTATGTTGGTGGACAGTTAGTCATAACTCGTAACATTTTGTCCTTCTCCTTAATCCTTATATATGTACGTGTTAAAATCAGGGTTCGCATGCGCCTCGGTGGTTAGACCCAGTTTTCCGCATCCGTAGGAACGCCACCACCCTCAAGGATCAAGGCACAGATGCAGAGTAGATCAGACACACCGCTAAAGTGGTCGAAGACGGAAAATCCCATTTGCTGCATCCATGTTTCCTTGTGCCGGGCCACGAGCTCCGAATTAGCTGTTTATCGCAGCATGAATAGAAAACATTATTCCGCTTCCAAGCAGGACTTGAATTTGTGCTCTCTGTGTCTCAATAATGGTCTTAGACCATCCCAAAATGTCTGCCTGCACGTACATTGTACATTGTACATTGTACTTGTATAGGTTAAACACTGTACAGCAATGTTCTCTGTTTTCGCCTGTTGCCTGCTATTGTGATTGCTGCGTTGAAGATGACCAACCTGACCTGGCCAGATTATCGATGGATTTTCTTCCCAGCGCGTCAGCATCATCGCGCGCCTCCACCTCCAGCAATGCGTCTCTCAGCAGCAATGCTCCAGCAGCCACACAGCCGTTCCTGCACAAGGTAGGATGGCGATACATGTACTTCCACTTGTAGAGCGGTACATGACCTGGTACATATGTGGTGGTACATGTACCAGGTGTGCTGCAGAACTAGGAGCCTTGCTGGAGTGCATGTTTGCACATGGAGTCAAAACCCACCACAGTTGCCAGCATTCTGCAATTCTAGCGGTACCCCAAGTTATTGTACTGCTTCCAAGTACACATACATGTGCATGTGCATGTGCATGTGGTATGCTGTGGGATGAAGTTAGTTAGATGGCCTAGTGCGACGAACGACTTGATTGTATGCTTCAATGAGCATATCTATGAACTACAGTGCTAAAGATAGGAAACTGAACAAGCTTCAGAAGCAACTCTGTTGTTGTCATCTTCAACCTAGCCAAGCTAATTTTCTCACAATCGCATGTATTCTTGCTCTGCTGTTCCAGGCAAAGCAGAAGGTACTAGTCCATAAGCAACTGACTGACGCCAGTATGCTATCGGTGAACGGCATGTCCGCAAGAATACGTACACCACCGCCCGTCGGTCGCCGACCCACTGCCTCCTTGACGATCGCCGCCGCCCCGAACTCCGATCACTGCGGCAATGGTGAGTCCCCTGCGGTGGGCTCTGCTAGTCCGACAGGCAACGCCATCAGGCGAATACAGCCACAGGCTGCAGTATCCAGCAAGCTGGCAGTAGAGTCAACAAGCCTAATACCACCCAGAGACAGGAAAGATGACCCTGAACCAACCCCCGCTGCAGTTGATAACCAGCCAACCTACCTTGCTCTGTCGGAGATCAATCCCCGAGAATACGTGTCCTCTGATGACGACCCAGGCACTTCGCAGCCGCAACGGCGCAACACAGACGGGCCCCACCAGAACTTTCCGCATAAGCAGCAGCAGCGCAGATGTCATCAGTCAGCTTCCAATGGCAAACCAGGTTCTAGACGTTACACATCTACAATGTCAGGTTCGCCGTCCGTGCATTCGGGCTGTATGTACAGTCCGCCATCGCCCAGGTCGGTAAGATCGTCAAAGTCAGCATGTTCCAACTTGAGTAGTCCGTACGGCTCTCGCTGCAGTAGCATTGCTGCACAGACCAATGGAGTTTCGACTGCCCACGGTACCCCTACGAAAGCTGCACGATCTGACCAGCCGTCAGATCGCCTCACACTCCTGCACACTGAGCCACACCATGTTGATCAGCAGCACATGCATCAGTATTACGCCCAGCAGGATCAGCAAGAGATGCACCAACACCAGCAACACCATCACCAACAGCAGCAGCAGCAGCAGGAGCTACATGAGCATCAGCAGGCGGCAATGAGCCATCCGCCATGTCAGCATCACCGATGCCATTCCTGCTCTGCAGAAGTGCCTTACGGCATGCATGGCATGCACAGTGCTACTGCAGCGGCGGCGGCGGCATACCCCTATGCTATGAATGCAATGCACAATGCTGCACCTATGTCCTACGGCATTGCACCAGCTTACTACCCGTATCCAGCAGCTCAAACAACGCCGCCGCATTCGCTGCGTGGACCGTACCCACCCGCTGCTATGCCGCCAACGTATATGGTAAGACACGGGCACAGATCATTGCTGCTAAATGTGTACACATCTGCACATGTCCTCACTGAGGTGCTGTGGCGTGTGTTCACTATTTTTAGAATGGTCCAGCACCGCTTTCTCATGGAGCTGGAGGGGCATGTGCGTGACATTGTGTTGTGCCTGGAAGCACCTACACGACACATTATACTTGCACACGTGCACGTGCACGAACGTACACACACACACACACACACACACACACACACACACACACTGTACTTGCTCACTGCGAAAACGTTGGTCTCCCCGGGAGAGGGGAGAGAGACTCAAAAGGAATCTTGGAAATATGACTCAATTGGCTATTGAACCGCCCAATAGCCCAATGACGGCCAATACCCCCTGAAATCCCCAAACTATGGGTGGACTTGGAAAATGATCCCACTTATGGGCTCACCATACCTGAGTAAGTGGGTGAGGACAAGATGAGGACAAGGTGCAGAAAAAGGATTGACGGCATCAAGGTATCCGTCCCGGGATCCAACTGCAGTGAACCCCGCCCCCAATGAAGAGAACACTTGCTACTAACACGCACACATACACACACGCGCGCGCACACTTGTGTGCGTGTGACATTGTTGATAGCTCTGCTTCACTTTACACATGCATGATGACTTTGTATACGGTATTGTGTTGCAGGGTGGACCCATGTATCACCCGTATGATGACTTTGTATACGGTATTGTGTTGCAGGGTGGACCCATGTATCACCCGTATGATGACTTTGTATACGGTATTGTGTTGCAGGGTGGACCCATGTATCACCCGTATGATGACTTTGTATACGGTATTGTGTTGCAGGGTGGACCCATGTATCACCCGTATGATGACTTGTATACGGTATTGTGTTGCAGGGTGGACCCATGTATCACCCGTATGATGACTTGTATACGGTATTGTGTTGCAGGGTGGACCCATGTATCACCCGTATAATGACTTTGTATACGGTATTGTGTTGCAGGGTGGACCCATGTATCACCCGTATGATGACTTTGTATACGGTATTGTGTTGCAGGGTGGACCCATGTATCACCCGTATGATGACTTTGTATACGGTATTGTGTTGCAGGGTGGACCCATGTATCACCCGTATGATGACTTTGTATACGGTATTGTGTTGCAGGGTGGACCCATGTATCACCCGTATGATGACTTGTATACGGTATTGTGTTGCAGGGTGGACCCATGTATCACCCGTATGATGACTTGTATACGGTATTGTGTTGCAGGGTGGACCCATGTATCACCCGTATGATGACTTTGTATACGGTATTGTGTTGCAGGGTGGACCCATGTATCACCCGTATGATGACTTGTATACGGTATTGTGTTGCAGGGTGGACCCATGTATCACCCGTATGATGACTTTGTATACGGTATTGTGTTGCAGGGTGGACCCATGTATCACCCGTATGATGACTTGTATACGGTATTGTGTTGCAGGGTGGACCCATGTATCACCCGTATGATGACTTGTATACGGTATTGTGTTGCAGGGTGGACCCATGTATCACCCGTATGATGACTTTGTATACGGTATTGTGTTGCAGGGTGGACCCATGTATCACCCGTATGATGACTTTGTATACGGTATTGTGTTGCAGGGTGGACCCATGTATCACCCGTATGATGACTTGTATACGGTATTGTGTTGCAGGGTGGACCCATGTATCACCCGTATGATGACTTGTATACGGTATTGTGTTGCAGGGTGGACCCATGTATCACCCGTATGATGACTTTGTATACGGTATTGTGTTGCAGGGCGGACCCATGTATCACCCGTATGATGACTTTGTATACGGTATTGTGTTGCAGGGTGGACCCATGTATCACCCGTATGATGACTTGTATACGGTATTGTGTTGCAGGGTGGACCCATGTATCACCCGTATGATGACTTTGTATACGGTATTGTGTTGCAGGGTGGACCCATGTATCACCCGTATGATGACTTTGTATACGGTATTGTGTTGCAGGGTGGACCCATGTATCACCCGTATGATGACTTTGTATACGGTATTGTGTTGCAGGGTGGACCCATGTATCACCCGTATGATGACTTTGTATACGGTATTGTGTTGCAGGGTGGACCCATGTATCACCCGTATGATGACTTGTATACGGTATTGTGTTGCAGGGTGGACCCATGTATCACCCGTATGATGACTTGTATACGGTATTGTGTTGCAGGGTGGACCCATGTATCACCCGTATGATGACTTTGTATACGGTATTGTGTTGCAGGGTGGACCCATGTATCACCCGTATGATGACTTGTATACGGTATTGTGTTGCAGGGTGGACCCATGTATCACCCGTATGATGACTTTGTATACGGTATTGTGTTGCAGGGTGGACCCATGTATCACCCGTATGATGACTTGTATACGGTATTGTGTTGCAGGGTGGACCCATGTATCACCCGTATGATGACTTGTATACGGTATTGTGTTGCAGGGTGGACCCATGTATCACCCGTATGATGACTTTGTATACGGTATTGTGTTGTAGGGTGGACCCATGTATCACCCGTATGATGACTTGTAGGGGTGAAAGGGGTGATCCGGGTACCCGTGTACCCGTTTGTTTAGCTGCTGACCCGTTAGCAAACGAGTACCCGTTAGTCGTGTACGACGGTACAGTACGGTAATATTAGCTGATTTGCACAGTTGTTCAATTTGATGTACAGGTTGAATGTGTTGTTGCTTGTTCGATCCTGCTAAATTAGACAATTTTGACTGTTTTGCATGTAGCGCAGTAAGTGCGCATGCTGCGCTTGTCGCGTTGTAGTGCACTTACTGTGAATTGCATGACTTTGCATGTCCTCCTCGCAGAAAATTTATAGTAACTGTCACTATTGGCTGCTAAAGGGTACCCGATAACCCGCCCGTTAAGCCAGGTACCCGTTTGTAACCTTAAAGGGTAACCGTTTCACCCCTAATGACTTGTATACGGTATTGTGTTGCAGGGTGGACCCATGTATCACCCGTATGATGACTTTGTATACGGTATTGTGTTGCAGGGCGGACCCATGTATCACCCGTACGTGCAGCAGCAGCAGCAGCAGCAACAGGCACCCCTCTATGCGGCGCAAGGTCTAGTACAGCCGCCGCAGTCGCCCTCCTTTTTCCTATCCGGTCCATCGACGTATCAGGACACCAATGGTATTGGCAACCGTATACACTATACTGCTATTTCTCCTACTTCTAAAGCTCGTAATGCGCGTAAAGCTCGTAATGCGCGTAATGCTGGTAGTGCTGGTAATGCTGGTACTGGCAGAGCTACAGCACCTACTCCTGGACTCTATGATACATCCATGGCTGAAGACCCTGATCACTTCATGTAAGTTCATGCAGCTAAGAAGTGCAGTGAGCAAATAGATCCTACACATATGCGCGCACATACACACCACACACACACACACTTGTACTTGTTGCTCACTGCCAAAACTGGTCACGTGGGTCTCCCCGGAAGAGAGGAGAGAGACTCAAAAGGAATCTTGGAAAGATGAATCAATTGGCTATTGAACCGCCAAACGGCCGACACCCCCTGAAATCCCAAAAACTCTGGGTGGACTTGAAAATGATCCCACTTACGGGCTCACCACACCTCGTAAGTGGGTGAGGACAAGGTGCAGAAAAAGGATTGACGGCATCAGGGTATCCGTCCTGGGATCCAACTGCAGTTACCCCTGCCCCCAGTGAAGGTAATACTTGCTACTAGTGTGAGTGGCTAAATCAGAGTGGATCTGATACAAGCTTCACTAGCACCATGATTACACACACACACACACACTCGCGCGCGCGCACACACACACATGCGTGTGTGCGCATCCGTGTGTGTGCACGTGTGCGTGCATGCATGCATACTAGAGAATACCTTGGCTTGTCTGTGTTGAAAATAAGTGCCGCAGAACTAAAAGTTACCGAAGCACAATGTAAACACGCACAATCTCTTTAAAATATACAACATATCCATGAACTGCCAATGTTTGCTTGTGTGCTGCAATCGTTGTGTTTGCGACGATGTTGTAATACGAGACACTACGGTATGTGTCTTACTGTCCTGCAGCTGGTTCCATGGTGATATGAATCGGGAGCACGCCGAAGCCACGCTGACAACATTCGGTGGAAACTGTTTCTTAGTTCGAGAAAGTATGGTGCAGGGTGGTGCCACCATATCCTCAAAGTAAGAAATCTCTCCTGGCTGCTGTGGGTCCAGATGGTTATGACAGTTAATGTTGCCTGCTTCTTTCACTGACGTTGATCCGGCTTACATCAGTTTGCGTGTGTATATACATGCATGTGGTTGTGTGTGTGTGTGTGCATGTGGGTGCTTTTCTGTGTGTGTGTGTGTGTGTGTGTGTGTGTGTGTGTGTGTGTGTGTGTGTGTGTGTGTGTGTGTGCGTGCATGCGTGTGTGTGTGTGTGTGTGTGTGTGTGTGTGTGTGTGTGTGTGTGTGTGTGTGTGTGTGTGTGTGTGTGTGTGTGTGAGCCTGTGCATGTGCATGTGCGAGTGCGCGTGCGTTCTCGTGCTTAGATTTGATTGTGCCTGTGTTTTTTCTGTTTTTTAGCCCACTCACTTGCGCTGGTTTTGTGACTGATGTTTGCAAGAATATGCGCATGTATGATCTTTGTGCTGCTGCTGCTGCTGCTGAGGATGAGGACACTGATGCTGCTCTGTTCTCCTTGCTGTCGACATGTACATGTACAGGCATGGAGATACGATTTATCACTTGAAGATCGGCTATCACACGCAGACTGGCGCCTTCTGTCTGATAGGTGGCCGGCAACAGCAGTACTTTCCCAAGCTATCACAGCTCATCCTGCACTTCCAGCAGTTTGATACGCCGCTGACTGGGCGCACACTCGGCAGGCCATGTCCACGTGGCTGGCATCTGCCGCAGGCAGAGGCAGATAGTAGCAGTACTCGGCGTTTGAAGGCGCCCGTCAAGAGTGAGATGTCTATCCGTAAGTACAGTGTCCCGCACACACCCTGAGGGATTCCAGCTAGTACACTGACTCTAGTTATGTTGGCTACATTGTAGTTACTTGTAGTGTGTTTTGAAGGAAGTCCGTACCGTAATGCAACGTACTAGTGTCACCAGGAGTACAGGAACCGGAGTGTGCAACTCTGGGAGAATGAGCCCATATTGGTGTTTTTGTTTAGGTCATAATAGGGAGGTTTAGTCCCACGTAATCCGTGTGTACTTTACGTGTGTGTACCACGTGATACTCAGTGACCCACGTACAGACGTTTTCTGATTCACGACATACCGTGTATGGAGGCTCACCCACGTTCCGCCAGAATGTGGGTGAATATCAGAATGGAGCGCATTGTGCAAGCTGTGAGGGTGCTCAGCTGAAGAAGTTTCCGAAGCACGAAATCGAAATATTCGATGCGCTTCTAAGCTTCGTCTTTGATCAAGTTTGGGCCTTTCGCTTCATGCTTTTGTTTGTTCTGTGTGACTAAAAACAACATTGCGAACGTGGGTCCTTTGCAGGAACTTAACGTGTATCACCCACGTTCCCGTATCCGTTACGTGGGACTAAACCTCCCTAGTGATCCGGTTCGCATGCTCATTTTACCTGATCACCAAGGTTATTTCTGGTGTGCATTGCTGCTTGTTGTACACATGGTGAAAACGCACGCACATCGTCCGTTTTCAACGTAGTGATGCGGTGGTTTGGCACTGAACCTACGGCACGTCAGGTTATCTATGATTCGTAATGACCTTAACTAAAAGCTTTGCCGTGGGAATTGTTTTATGCAGCATAGATGCGGAGCTTGTGTACTCTTGGTAAACAAGAAATCCAGTGTATGTTCCAAAACGTTTGCTACAAATCGTGTGCCGGTTTATTGAGTGTGCTGGACTAAGACGGGCTGATTGCATTGTGTTGTTGCCCCCTCTTCCGTAGGGAGTATAATCAGCATATGAAGAAAGGCAACGCAAGCAAGGTCTTGAGCAACAATGCCCCAGAGATGGCACTAACAATACCGCACACTCTGCAGCCACAGCTGAGCGTGACCCAAAGAACACTGCACTCTGCAGACACAGCTGAGCGTGACCCAAAGAACACTGCACCCTGCAGCCACAGCTGAGCGCGACCCAAAGAACACTGCACTCTGCAGCCACAGCTGAGCGTGACCCAAAGAACACTGCACTCTGCAGCCACAGCTGAGCGTGACCCAAAGAATACTGCACTCTGCAGCCACAGCTGAGCGTGACCCAAAGAACACTGCACTCTGCAGCCACAGCTGAGCGTGACCCAACGAACACTGCACCCTGCAGCCACAGCTGAGCGTGACCCAAAGAACACTGCACCCTGCAGCCACAGCTGAGCGTGACCCAAAGAACACTGCACCCTGCAGCCACAGCTGAGCGTGACCCAAAGAATACTGCACTCTGCAGCCACAGCTGAGCGTGACCCAAAGAATACTGCACTCTGCAGCCACAGCTGAGCGTGACCCAAAGAATACTGCACTCTGCAGCCGCAGCTGAGCGTGACCCAAAGAATACTGCACTCTGCAGCCACAGCTGAGCGTGAGTACTGCACTCTGCAGCCACAGCTGAGTGTGCCCCGAACCAGCGCTGGACACACACAACACGGACAGCTGCGGACATGCAAAGCACACAACAGGTGTGACATGCAGTGATTTTAGCCTGTAAACCCGTGTTCAACATGCATTATTTTATTATGCTTGCTCTTCTCCATCGTGGTTTGTGTACTAAAATAATAAATTACACATCGGGTTTTTGTCCGTTTGCGAAACTAAACATCGTTCTATCGTGTGTATTTCCCCCGCCGCCTTTACCTGTTGTGTCCTAGGAAACGGTTTTCTTTTATTACCCATTAGGCATTTAGAACGGATTGCGACAGTATAACGTATCTAGAGTGCTGCACATGATGTGTCCACCATGCACATGTGTGCGTAACGAGATATTATTTTAGCATTATCATCACCATCTGATATCATATTAATTTATTCTTGTGTACTCTTTTTCTAGGATAATTTATTAGACTAAACGATGATGAGAAAAGGAAAAGAATTTCAAAGAATTTCAAAGTTTCAAAATTCTACAAAATACTGTCATGCCAAGCGGAAAGTGTTGATGACCAGCTGCCTGAGCAGCAAATAAAAAACTTTAAAAATAAAATAAAATAATCATCTGGCTGGTGATCAGCACTATGATCATGCCAGCACTATGATCATGCCAGCACTATGATCAGCACTATGATCAGCACTATGATCAGCACTATGATCAGCACCTATGATCAGCACCTATGATCAGCACTCTGATCAACACTATGATCAGCACTATTTTCATCACACTCTAGCAGAGTCCTGATCTCATGCAGGACAGGCATGCCCATGTGGTAGTGGACTGGTGCTAGTAGGCGGTGAGATGTCCAACAGGCAACGCAACTCAAATCACATCTCAGCACTTTTTTGAAATGGGTCATGTTGAAGGTGGGCTGAACATTTCGTCGACTAAAGCAAAGCACGTTGAGCAGATCTTGACAGCGTCCTGGTAGCCCAACATCGGTAGCCTGCAAGGACAGCAAGGATAGGCCGTGTGCAGACATACAATACACAATGTGAAACAACAGTTGCTGAAAAGCGGGAACTTTTCACTAGAGATTAAATGTTGCCCTTTCCGCGGGCCGCGGCCATTACACATTTGCAGATTTCAACCAGCACAAACTATTCTGTGCATCGACGGTGGACAGCACAATCATGATCCAACTGAACAGATAGTATGAAAGTGAACCAAAAGAATTCTTGAAAACGTGAAAGCTTCTCTCTTTACATACACATAATTATTATAATTATAGCATTCAATCAAGGACAGGAAAGACAGGATACTGTAAAACCGGAAAAGTTCGGCGGAAATATATTTTCGGGACAGGTAATTTTTACCTAAAATAAACGCGACCTAAAATTCAACCAATGCCATGCCACACAGTGTGCATAATGCATTACAGTAGAGCCGCGCGCCCAAGAACGTTGTTTCTTAGTGGCTAGCCTGGGACGTTCTTATTTTCAAGCAATCTGGCTGCGTTCTTATAGCACGTTCTTAGAAACAATCCGTACTGGATCATATGTATCCCACAACCTGCCAGAAAACCACCGCCGTTCTTAGCTTTAGGCTGTGGCGTTCTTAGAATTTCAGGCTGGATGTTCTTGGGCTCCACGTTCTTCAGCGTGCGACTCTACTGTATTGAATCTGGAAAATTGGTTCACTGAAATGTTCGCGCTACCGAATTGTTAATTTTGGGAAATACCGAAAATATTACACCGCCGAAAATTCCCGGTTTTACTGTAAGCCCTGCTGTTGATGCTGTTCAGTGTGTGTGTGTGTGTGTGTGTGTGCGTGCGTGCGTGCGTGTGTGCGTGCGTGCGTGTGTGCGTGCGTGCGTATGCATTTGGGCCTTCCTGGGTGTTAATTTCAATGGAGCAGGCACAGGCCATACCATAAACCGCTATCCTCTAATTTGCCCATGGAAGTGCAAGTAGGGCAATAGGTGCATCCTAAAACAGTTGCATGCTCCACACTCTAGCCACATTCTCCACACTCTAGCCACATGGCTAAGATACTGCACACATGTACACACAGAAACGTTTTGGCACTTACGCTACACAATTGGCCAGACATGGTTTGCAGTATATCCTTCCACACGACCGGCAATGGTGTCGTCTCACCAGCTATTAGTCGTGCATGCCACCAACCAGCAGTGAGTGTCAGCGAGCAATACCGAGCAGCATAACAACAGCAATGAGCCCGGTGGTAGAAGTGTAAAAACAGAAAAGAGAACATAGGAGAGCACAGTGTGAGTGAGTTCATGACAACAGATCTGCATCTCACCTCCTTGAGCCCCCGTCAGCTCTGTTTAGAGTTTAGAGTGGTCCCACACAGAACACTATCCATGACAGTATCATACTGCTCAAACACACTTACACATAATTTTAGTTGAAGCTTGCATCATGCATCCGCCACTGCCAACACTACAAAAGGTTGCCCGACGCCAATGTTTAGCTACGTATGACTGCACAGTTCACCATGCAACACTACTTACCTGTGAAAAGGAAGCACGGCATTTGGAGTTCATGCAATGGGTCACAAACTGCGAAACACATGCACACACGAACACACACACACACACACACACACACACACACACACACACACACACACACACACATGCATGCAGACACACACACACACACACATAAGAAATCAATGTGAACATCCTGAAGCTCGAAGCAGTACAGAAATCCCCCTATTTCTTTCACACCCAACATACTGTTGTATACATCATGAAAATGTAGCAGTCATGCAGTATGAAGACTCAGCAAGATGGAACCTGTAGTTGGGATCACTTGTAACAAAGCATAGTACATGTACCGCATGTGCATGCGCATGCACCCCCTCCACACACACACACACACACACACACACACACACACACACTCACACAAGAGACTGAGGACAAGGCAAAGGTTGAAACATACCTCGTCCGGAATCCAGGTGAGCTTCAAACCTTGCTGTAAAACGTTCAAATCACGGTAGCTGCGCTCGGCATCCAAACAGCGCTGGTCAGCCTAGTAGGGTGAATGCAGATAGCCAAAGAGAGAGAGAGACATGCAAGCATTATAGAACATTCTCAGGGATACATAATGCTAGTGTGATGTGTCCACAATACCGGCTTAATCCACCAATCTAGGTCTCTCTCTCATTGTAACAAGGTGCGGCATGCACTAGAGTGCAGTAGAGTGCAGTAGAGTGCAGTAGAGTGTAGTAGAGTGTAGGAGAAGGCACACTGAGAGATGAACACAGACGGTCACACTGTGGGTATGGGAATGACGGGAACTATGTTTACAAGCAAAGAGTCTCACCCCAGGACATGTACTGTTGACTGTACACAAGTCATGCACTCAATCCTACAGAAGGAATTATGAGGACTATGTAGTTGCAAGCTGACTGAACCATGGACCATGGTAATGTACACAGGAAACACACATTCGACTGTAGCCTAGTGTAGGTTCTACTTAACGCACAGCCCAAGAGCCTATAGCAGCAGCAGCAACAGGGGTTGCCTATGTACCTCAAACACAGCAGTATCACAGTCCGCACGCAGCTTGGTTATCTTGTTCGTGTTAAGTGCTTCCAGCTGAGCAAGACATAGGAACACACAGGTGGAGGCTCAAATAACACCGACACATTGCTCAAACTTTTCTTATTGTCCACACATTTGGTGTAATATAAATTTGAATCGTATCGTATTTCCACGCATATAACGCCATGGCGTTAGAGGTGAAACATCGCTGTTTTGGACCAAATTTTTGGAGAAAATAGCCTCGGTTTGAACGCCATGGCGCTAAAAGTGAGAGACGCGTACATGCAAAAAATCGGCAGAGTATGAACTTCGAGTACTCGTACGGTGCCGTTGCACGTTCATGTCGAGCATCCATGTACTTTCAATTTCCCTGAAAATTTCAAAATGTGAACCTATTGTGTTTATTTTGCCCGTACAAGAAGAGTTTTTGGGGTTCTGTAAAAAAAATCAGGTCCAGATTCCAGAAAATGAAAATAGTCGAAATACATCTTCAAAAGAATTGTGTTCAAGGTGACATGGAAACTTGTGTGAAGGTGCGGTGGCGGTATGGCATGTGACAGTGGGGATGGGTACATGCAGAGAGAATCACCGCTACTGTACGTTCACTGAAAGAATTGAACTCACCTTTAACGCCAGATGCAACTTCCTCCACATTGAATTTTGTTCACTTATAACGCCATGGCTTTATAAGTGAGGGTGGCCTTATATTCGGATATAACGCCATGGCTTTATATGCGCGGAAATACGGTAGTAAAGAGACCGTTTCGGAGTTGAGGAGTGAATTTTCATAAATACATCGCTCAAACACCAAACAAACACCACTCAAACATCACTCAAACAACACATACACACGTACACCATAGTGCAGCCAGCTCAAAGAATTTATTTTCAAACTTAATTCTTTTCCAGTTCTCACCCGCATTACAGCATCCTTGTGTGTCTGCTGCATTTGCTCCATCTCACGCTGGGCGGTGCGGATACGCTCCTCGGTGTGCTGTGCACTGCGCGCTACCGTCTCCACCAGGCTCTGGCAGCGATGCTCAGCGTTCAGCTTCTCTGTTGTCAACTGCTGAACACGAGCAGCGAGCTGTAACAGGCAGCGGAGACACACAGACCGTGCAGCAGCAGCAGCATCAAAGAGCAACCAACAATTTCAAAAAGCATGTCAGCTGAGCCAGTTTTCACCACTAACATGACAATTCTCATCATGCTAACGTGTGCTTGGAATACGTGGTACCGCCTCTCACAGCATCCCAGACCAGCAGGTAAGAGTCAAGATTCGCAATGACGGTGCCTACTGATTCAGGGTGCAGCACACTCGACACCTCTGATTGACTGCAGCCATAGGGCCGGCATATAGATGAAATGTACAGCATGCACAAAAGGCATGATTGCTCATTGTTTGTATCATACATTCCCACTTACTTCAGCAGTCCGATCACCGACAGGAGAATGTGCTCTACTGATGGCAGGAGACGAGGGACCTGTGCAAAGACCAACCAAGATGGTGGCAGAACAGAATTAGAGAATGAAGCCACCGGGCACACGATGAACGGCACACAGTACAGTAAAGCCTGGTGTAAGCGACCTCTGGTTTTAGCGACCACCTGCTTTTAACGACCTTTTTCCATGCACGGACAGTTTTACACAGAAACTGCACTGGATACTGCGACCACCTGCCTTGCGCGACCAGCGGCCGACCTTTAGTGTGCCAGGTGCCATACTGGACCTGCACACAGCGACCAAAACCAGCCAAAAGTGCCATCTTGACTGGCAGGGCCGACTGCAACAGGGTTGACGTGCGCTCTGAAGCAAGTGCATGCAGTCAACAGAAGTGACAAGTGACAGTGCAGGATGCGCTGCATGCACTTGAGCGAGATGTTCTTTGCCTGCACGGAAGTATTCTATGCTCCATGCCTGTCAACATGAGTACATGGAAGTACAATTATGCACATGTATGTACACGACCCGATATGCCACGAATGTATGGGACCTGTCTCCTATACTCGAAATACTAGTACTACTAAGTACTGTAGTAGTAGGTGCTTCCATTTCACTCAAGCAGCAAGGGATACAGGGTGGATGAGAGCTCAAGCGAGAAGCAGTGAAAGTCCAACACCCACACACGAACACCCACGAAGAGAGAGAGAGAGAGAGAGAGAGAGAGAGAGAGAGAGAGAGAGAGAGAGAGAGAGAGAGAGAGAGAGAGAGAGAGAGAGAGAGAGAGAGAGAGAGAGAGAGAGAGAGAGAGAGAGAGAGAGAGAGAGAGAGAGAGAGAGAGAGAGAGAGAGAGAGAGAGAGAGAGAGAGAGAGAGAGAGAGAGAGAGAGAGAGAGAGAGAGAGAGAGAGAGAGAGAGAGAGAGAGAGAGAGAGAGAGAGAGAGAGACAAACACACACACACACACACACACACACACACACACACACACACACACACACACACAAACACACACCAGCAGCATTCAGAAATCAGAATAGATTATAATTATCATCCCGAGCTTAGTTGACTCACAGCTGATATTGCCTGATGACTGTCTGGTGTGACCCTGATAACCAGATAAGAAATGCAGAGATCGTACTCACACAGGGTTCAGACGAACATGGTACTGAAGAAGAAAACAGTATTCACACAGAAGCTAGAAACTACTGAAATATGTTGACTAGTAGAATCTCCCCTGTTGGTATAATTTAATAAATACATGTACCCTTGAGTTGTACAGTGGTGTTCAAATCTGATAATTGCTATCTTCAGCGGATTCATTGGGAGAAGGCAGGAAAACCACTAAGAACGAGATATGCATGTCCAAGGTTGAAGTCACAGCACTAATCAACATGACAAATGTAAAGTCAAACTCCCGTGCCCACACTGAGTGCGTTCGATTACACACTTGAATCGATTCAAGTGCATTCAAGTCGTTCGATTTTCATGTCATGAGCCCTGGAATCGATTCGGAATCCATTCACTCTATTCACATGGGGTGATGTGAATAGCGCGAATCGATTCATGAATCGATTCGCGTGCATAATCGAACGCACTCACTGTCAACAGTAGTGGGAACGGTGGAAGCAGCAGCAGCAGCAGCAACGGCAAGGAGAAGTGCAGCAGTGGCAGCAGCAGCAGCACCACCACCACCAGCCCATGTATTGATACCTAGTGACTTCAACACAGGCACACGGATTCGGCTACAATCTATCTGACATAATGAACCAACCTTTGTTTCACCATTTCGCTTCCTGCCAGATGGTGGAGAGTCAACAGGTGTACGTGTTGGTGAAGGCACGACGGTCTCAGTAATAGCAGGTGACGGGGATTGAGTAGCAGCCATTGCTGGAGCCAATCCTCGTTCATCTATACAATGCATGGCCAGAGGCACATCAACATGACAGTACAAACTTGGCTCACAGAACACCAGCGGAACACCAGCGGATCTAAAGAAGAGCTGGAAAACATGCTACTGTCAGGGTGTGGTTGCCAGGTAGACTACACTTACTGCACATGGACAACGGACAGAAGCCCGGACACACATGCATGAATAGTACACACTGATACCTACCCCATCACACACACGCACATGCACACACGCGCGCACACACACACACGCACACACCCTCGCTAACCTTCTGGTAGAGTCAGGTAGTCCACCACACACGCTATCGACCGATGCAGATCCCCATACTTCACACTGGCAGCTGGAGTAGACACAGTAGTGGAGCCAGTAGAGCACATCAATTTTTCCCGATTGTAAGTCACACTCGACCATAAGTTGCACCCCTACTTTCAGGTTTGCTTCAATATATTTACATACTGGTAAGTAGGATATCACATTTGATTATAAGTTAGTCGCATGATGCCCTTCTCTGAACGAGAAGTTTAGTGTAAAAAGGTGTGATATCTATTTGGGGAAATGCGGTATGTCATTTTTAACCAGGGCAAGAGCAAACAAGAGCACATGAGGACAACACATCATGGACACTTGCTATCACATCAAAGAAAGGAAATACGATATCCAACGTCTCTATTTCATCTGCAAACATGATATCCAATGCCTATCTTATCTGCAAGCGATCATATCCAAAGAATGCAACAACTACAGGCAGTGGAAACAATGGGTAGCTAGAGTGAGTGAGTGGGTCGGAGTGAGAGTGAGTGAGAGAGTGAGAGAGTGAGAGAGTGAGAGAGAGAGAGAGAGAGAGAGAGAGAGAGAGAGAGAGAGAGAGAGAGAGAGAGAGAGAGAGAGAGAGAGAGAGAGAGAGAGCAGCTTTGAGCCACCCTGCTCACCCTCCCTACATGTTTACTTACCAGGAGGTAGATGCAGTGTCTCTTGCAGCTGTACAAGAGATTGACTCACTGAACAGCCAGCACACAGGCAGCACACAGTGACAGAACAGAAGCAAAACAAACAGCACAAGCACACATGCCATTGACACACAGTACTAGTATGGCATAGCTCAGCACGCCAGAGCTTTTAAAAGAGCCTTCAGTACATATGAATGCTCTGGAAACACACAAAACAAGCAAAACCGACTGCTCACAAAGGGAATGCAACATCTTGCTTCCTGCCAACACGAAGCCAAGCAGAAAGGATGCCAATAATTACAACAAGGGTCTACAGTAGAAAGTTAGTAGTGACTGCATTGCAAGTGAGTAGCAGATACCGTACTCAGCAGGACTGGAGAATGTGGCATGGCACACTATCAAACAGCATTAAAAACGGCGCTAAGTGAGGCAAATATTCTCACCCCTCTCCGAAGTATCATGCACACATCACACCCACAACTCTGGCAGGCCTAAACCAGAAAGGTAGCACAGGCTGGGTAGTGAAACATCAGGAGGCAGGCTTCCCGAGGCTGCGAGCTAGATGTCGCCGTGTGATTCTCCAGCCATGCTGATAACAGCATGAACTTCACAGTGTGAGCGCGCGCGTGTGTGTGTGTGTGTGTGTGTGTGTGTGTGTGTGTGTGTGTGTGTGAAAAAAGAAAAAATGGAAAAATGAAAAACAGGGATTCCCTGGGCAGAAAAAGTCACTTTAATCAGCTGTGTGGTGGATACCAGGCTAAAAATAGTGGCGGTCAATTCATCAGCCTTGCAAGCTGTTGAATGGTGTAATCCCAGCACAAGTTGCTATGTCTAACATAGCTGTTCGCTATCATCGCTTCCGCAATGGGCAAGTCTGAGGTCTGAGGTGTGTGTGTACCGTGTGTGATATTGTGTCATGTGTGTGTGTGTGTGTGTGTGTGTGTGTGTGTGTGTGTGTGTACCGTGTGTGATGTTGTGTCATGTGTGTGTGTGTGTGTGTGTGTGCGTGTGTGTGCGTGCGTGTGTGTGTGTGCATGTCACATTGTGCATGCATGCATGCACTCACAACCACAAGCAGTCTATGCTGAAAGTGCTACCCTATCACCACAAGGCAGTCAACACTGACTGTGACTGTGTGTGTGATGTTCTTGTTGAGTACGTACACTGGCATTGGCGCAATGCTCTCACAATGTCTGGATGAGCGTCGTGCCGCACTGCTAAATCCAGCGCCGTCTTGTGCTTGCTATTGCGTGTGAAGACATCAGCACCCATCTGTCAGCAGTGTGCAGGAGGGACAATTAGAACAACACGGTGTAAGCATTGGCTGTCTCCAGAAATCAGAAAAGAGAAATAGACAACACCATTGATGGAAAGGGAGAGAAGTTCAACAGCCTGTGCAGGGAATTTACCTACTCCTAGTGCATACACTAGCACAAGTATACCACAGCATGTTGTGCACATAGTCAGTGCTAGTCCAGGTACATATTACTACCTGCATGCTGCCAATACTCATGCAAGGCTGTATGTGTATCAATCTGCAAGGTTGACAAGCAGCAAAAACGAGCACAGTACTTTTCTCACCTGTACAAGCATATCACAGCACTCCACGTGTTGCGCAGTGTTGCCATATCTAATGTGATGTATGAAGAACACAGAGAAATGTAAGCCTCAAATTGAGTTTCAGATGTCACAATGCCCAGTACACATTGGTGCATACTTTGAAGCAGCGGCGCACATAAAGTCAACGGCGAGTTCCCTAGGATAGAGGCACCATTTAAAAACCAGGCATATGCAAACGTTACTGCCAACTCACCGCCCGACAATATGAAGCGCTGTGTTTCCATCCTACAGAACAGAGCGTATATGTACAGGCAGTACAGGCAACAGACATTCAAAGTAGTTAGTTAAGCACATCACACAAAAGCCATGCCATGCATCGGAACTGTACACACAAGGACAGTGCACCGAACACAACCATTTGCCCAACCGCTACACAAAGTACACTCGGGCACGCTCTCATCCTGATCGCCATACACCAGGACTGGTGCACGTATATCAAGAAGGGACTGCTTTCCAGACAGTATGGGCAACACATAGCAACACTACAAACTAATCCTGCACCTAAGAGCCAAAGCCAGCTACAGGTAATGAACTACAGAGGTGGAAAGTAAATTGTTTGACTTCATGAATAAAGCAGAGCTGCATTCATTGCACAGCTGTCACTGTTCATAATGCTTTGATGTTGAACTTCACTTGGCATCACTGCATGTGTGCATAATAAAATATTTAGAGCAAGGGGCACTCTCCTGGTCTGCAGTAAATTCGTCGATAGTTTACTGTGACAGCAGGCAAGCAGTAGCACATACGAGTAGGTGCACAATCATGTTGACACGAGTACACAACGGACACAACGTACTTAGTACTTACCACGTTACAGCAATGTATATCTACTCCTCTCTCCTGAACAGTGACAACATACATGTAGACAAATGAAAAAAAATAATGCTACGCGCTAGCAGAACCTGGCCACAGAAGACAATGGGGCACCGGCACACCTACATCTACAAACAAAATGTGTAGTGTCAGGTGCAGAAATATAGCAGTAAGGGCGAGGTGACACGCCTCAGTCATGTACGCATACGTCATTCAACACAATGACAAAGACAAAAGGGAAAGCAGAGTAAGTCACAGACAAACACTGGATACGACCTGTAACATACAAGGATAGGCAGTCGCAATTCTCAAGACAGGAGACTGATAGCAGGGTTTGTCTACTGTAGCTGCTGTGCTGCTTCCAGTTCAAGTTTTTTTTTTACTCATTGTTTTTCAACCAGCAGCACTACTCACCATCATCAATGCCACACAGGCAAGGTGCCCATGACGCAATGCATTGAACAGGATCGGGTTGCCAGATGTGTCTGCGGCAGAATGAACAAACGCAACACCCGAGCCCGCGTAAAGACGTAAAGAAACAACGGCACGCATTCATCAAAGTAGAAGAGACCACTCGGCAGAGAGTACCCTCAGCCAATAGTGTGCCGCTCTGTCACAATCAATCATACCAGTGAATGCAGACAGATCGGCATACTGCAGAGCATGACAGGCGAGCGTCTCTATTTACCTGTTAGATCCACGCTTGCACCACTATCCAGCAACATCGAGATCAGTGAATGATTTCCTGTACAAGAAAAGAAAAAAGAAATGTTAAAGTAAGAGAAAATCACATATCGCATGAGAGCCCAGTAGTTTTCAAAAACAAAAGCCGAGTACAAACTTTCCATTGCTCTGCAGTAGAATTAAATGACGGTCAGTTTCTTTCAAAACTTGTAACTATGCATGGGCACATAACACTGCTAGGCCAGGCCTGAATCAGGGTCGCTGTCATTGAAAAGACACTCAATCCAAATTCTATTGGCGGTGCACACAGCAACAAAGGGAAAATCCCACATACTTATGTGCAGCAAAATGAGTACAGTCAGACCTCGCTTAACCGCACACATCCGTTTTCCACAAAAATATCCGGATAGGCGAGGGAACCGGATAATCGAACACACACACTGTGTGTGTGCATAGCATTGCTGTAAATCGGTGACCAACAATTTTCTTCCGGATGGCGAGGGATCCGGATAAACGAGGACCGGATAAGCGAGGTCTGACTGTACCAATACTTCAAAGTACATGTTCAACCCATACACCCGGGAGATAAATGAATTGCTGGCCACGCAAAGTCACAGCATTCTTCAACGACAATCTCACACACCTTTCCTTACGGCTTCCGTAAGCCAGATATGCTGTTCGTCCACAGACATCTCTTTGAAGCTCATCGTCGGCGATACAGGTGCATTCTCCTCCGCTGCTACAGTGGAATTATCTTCAGCAACTACAAAAGAGGACAGGGTAGACCACAATGAAAACTGTTTCAAAAAATACTGAGTACAGACAAGCATCCCCCCCCCCCCCCCCCCCCCCCCCCCCCTGGATATCTCAACATTCATCAAACTGCGGAAAACATCGCCGAAGTCACTATTACTGTCATTGCCAGGACGGAAATGAACAAAGGCCAAACAGGCTGGACCCGTGCAGGGAGCACGAAACTGCTCGAACTACATCAACAAATCCTGCCTCCTCTCTGGAAAAGCATGATTGCATGATTATGTTGCTCAACAGTGTGGCCAAGCAAATAAATCCACAGAGTTCCTCAAACGTTCATCATTCCAAAGCTGTCAAGCAGTACTCTTAGCTATCTTACTTGGCAAGCCTGAGCTCTCCACGGAGAGTGAAATCAGGGCATCTTGTCCCTTCTGAACTTTCCTGACATGTGCCACATGACAGGGATTACAAGACTGCAGTAATAGAGAACATAAACAGTAAACACACACACACGTGCACGCACACACACACACACACACACACACACACACACACCTCAGACATGCCCATCGCGGAAGCGATGATAGCGAACAGCTATGTTAGACATAGCAACTACACACACGCACGCACGCACGCACACACACACACACACACACACACACACACACACACACACACACACACATGCACACAACACTGGTTTTCAACATACATGTATGTAGCAGGCAGCGCCCTCTCTCTCTCTCTCTCTCTCTCTCTCTCTCTCTCTCTCTCTCTCTCTCTCTCTCTCTCTTTCTCTTTCTCTCTCTCTCTCTCTCACCTTGATCGGCTGAATTCCACTAAGCAAACATGAGGGACAGATAGCTGCACCACAGTACCGACAGTGAGACCTGCCAGAACCAAATCAACACACACGCACACACACACACACACACACACACACACACACACGCACACACACACACACACACACACATACACACACACACAGCACATGTACGTGCAAATATATTTTTTAAATAGAGCACATGCCCGATGAGTTTGAACTCCGCTGAGAAAGATCTAACAAGATCGAAACAGCTAGCTGTCCGGAAATAGAATAGAGCATATGCCCTATGAAGTCCAATAGCAGTCAAGGTACAAAGTACCCGTATAGGATAATGCAACACTACTGGAAATAACTAGACAGGTATGAGCAGTGCACTCACCTTGTCTTGGGTATGCTGGTACCCAGGTAGCATTTGAACAGAGTTGTGCATTTTGAGCATTTCTGTAAAAATTACCAATCCACGCACAGCACAGCAGGAAAGCAATACTCAACTGTTATCAAGTGCTGTGCAATCGTCATTACGGTTCACAACAATCGTACAGGAATGCATGGAACTATGCAAAGGACAAGTATGTACATGCTATCTCCTGGTAGCCTCCTTCAAATTAACAAAGATTTTTTCAAAACTCAAATACTACGAAGTAGTACCTTGCAAGTACATCCTTTGAATGTGCCATCGCAATCCGAGCACTCTGGACAGGCAGCAGAAGAATAAAGAGCATACATCAGAGTGAAGGGTGCCAACCCCTGTGAATTAAAAAAAAAAAACCCACACATGTTCACTTCCCTTTTACACCATTCCAGGAAACTCCCCTGATAAGCATCCATTTACTTTTGGAGAATCCTTCAAATAAAGTCTGGATGAATGAGTGAAATGAATGTACAACATGTGTCGGTTGCTTGCGCACAACCCACGCACAGTGCTCCCAAAAAAGCACAAGAGTTTCCCAAAACCTAGATGAAATTGGGAAACCGACAGAGATTGCACTTCCATAATTCGAAATAAATGAAAAATGAAGTTAACTTACCAGCAAAAATCTTCCTTTCGCTCATGGTCACAGAGTCTGGCGCTAACCCACGCAACTTGTCGATTCTCTACACAGTGACAGAATAAGAACAGGAAGGGGAATACAGCAGTTGGATCTCTCCTATCCGGGAGCCTGGCGACCGATGGGTGTCCACATTTCAGGAACACCAGTGAAATGTATCTCGAAAAAGTGCACTACACAAAATAATAAAATATCTATACAAGATGATGAACGGTCAGAAAGTGGGATAATAGGGCACAAAACTGACAGGCTACTGAGACATTCAGCGACCCGTGGATAGTTGCTGCATAACTCGTTCTCATGTGTTTCTTCTCTTTTTTACATTTTATTACTGGCTCAGTATCCGAGTATATCTATACAGCTAGTGGTTATTTCGGTTGGATGCAGCAAATGTGATTTTCGGTCTTTGACCACTTTGTGGTGGGTCTGATCATCTACTCACCTCCCACCGCTTTAGGAGCTGTATCTGCGCCTTGACCCATAGAGGGTGGTGGCGTTACTATGGATGCGGAAAACGCGGCCTCCAGCCGCGTCCCATGCGAACCGTGATTTTCTTAGTGGTTACCTGATAACACACCACACACAGACAGCATGAAAGCCGGAGAGGCCATTGCCGGTGTCCAGCACATTGTTTACACCGTCCAAACCTTTAATACGATGCACATACACATGCTAGGTCGCCAACCTTGCCCACGTCCAGCGGGAGAGAGTGATCCTGCCCCGAGGATACGAAGGATGACATAAATCGTAAATGTACGACGGCGGCGGATACACAGCGTAGCACCCTTTAGGCAATGGTACTATGAGGTGGAGTGAGTTTGCCTGTCACTTAGCACCAGTCAATATGCTATTTATCAGCTACATGTACCATTTAAAGTGATCTGTCAAGGTGCACGCCTTCAACGCACTACAGCATATTGAAAACTGGAAGGTATATCCCAGAATACAGCACACACGTGGGGCATAAAAGATTTCTTTGGATCACACTTCATGCATTTAAGTTTGAACACTGTTGAAGTACTTGAAAGTGATACTTCGAAGTCATAACTCCAAAAAGTAGTACCGTGACGTACAACAAGAGCGCCCCGTCTCACGAGAGCACCCACCTTGATTTTACGGCCAGAGAAAGGAAAGTCGTATGGCAGAGTGCAACAGAGTTTCTTTGGTGTGAGAACCTTAAGGTCACACTTAACATGACATGTTCTCCCCCCCCCCCACCCCTACAATCTATAAAAATGATTAGTTCAGAGCCATCAACCTTTTTTAAATATATTTTTATATTTTTGGCCAGTATGACTACTAGTACTACTGTATTGACTTTGTCTTGGGGGTGAGACATGGCGAAGTTACCATACTGGGCTATGCGCCCACCTCTCGTCACCGCAAGCATTGCAGGGATTATTTCGGGTGGTGGCCCAGTGGCCATCAGAGGTCCAACAATTAATACTGAAGGTTGTGCCTTTTGACACAGATTTTCGAATTTTATGCAATATGGGAAAATCAAACTGCAGATGTCATTAACATTTACTGGAATGGTAAGAAACCCAAAGTATTGGTACATAATTATACACATTATACAGTCATGCACATCCTTGAAGTAATTAGTTGAAGGTGCATAGGGCAGCTTTGCAGTGCACTGACTGTAGTGCAGCTTGTTCATGGCGCTGGCATTAATACGATTAGTGCATATGGAACCTACCAGGCACTTGACGCCAGAAATTAATTCAGCACTTCTTGGGGTTCACCACTGGCACTAGCACTTGTCGCCACTGTATATAGGTGGTTAGCTGCGCACCAATGATGATGAGCTTGGGGTACTCGTAGTCGTGCACGTGTACCGCCACTCTAAAAAGCACGATATAGGGTCTGGAGAGACAACTGTTATAATTATAGCTTCAGGGACTGCAAACCTTACATAAAGATGATCCAAATCGAGGAGAGATATCAACTCTCTCAGGGTAATACTACAATCATGTTATGCAGCTAAGACCTGCTTGTATTGTGCTACAAATTGTCATGTAGGTCGCACAAAAATTAGAATTTTTGAACTCGATCGACTAATCGATCGTAGACCATGCATGGTATACCCGGTACGTGTACGTGTGTATCGTAGAGCTAGAGATCGTATCGCGCGTTGTAGCTACAAATTTTTTTGTAGCTACATAATGGGGCTGTTAAGTGATGACGTCACAGTTCCTTCGATACGCATAGCAACGATCCCACTGGGGACAAACAAAAGTAGCGTCGTCTCCACCGAACCAGTTGTCAGTGGCAACATATAGGAATCGTGTACATTTCTTCGTTTCTTCTTTGCTGTTTTCAGTGAGTGTTTTGTTTTCTCTTTGTCCTTGATCTCGACGGCGTTGTCGTGCTCATTACCTTATTGAGACGTCTCTTGTGACTGTAGCCAGTGTCACGGAGGATTTTATTGGCGTGACGAGGTAGATCGCCGAGATCGAGCGTGAAAAACGCTCTGCATTAGTAGCTCCTGTAGAATGTCTTCTGGGATGGCGTATCCATGGTCAACAAAGCCAATGTGCAAGACAGCATAAGAGATCGTGTAAACGATGTGAACTCCAAAAGGTAAGCTCCTGAACAAGTGGAAAGATATGTGTATTTACAAACTCTCTCTTCATCCATCGATTGCCGCTATGCATTGCATTTTGTCTTCACAGATAATCTGGACAAATAAATTATATTGTAACTGGAGAGTGCAGTCGTGCTTGGGGCCCATCCCAATGTCATCACATGGCTGTGGTGACGAGTGTATACCTGGGAGAATTTTCCTCAACTGAGACGGAGTGTAGATGGATGGATTATGAGAAATGCGAAGATGTGGAGTAAGTTGTGTCGAAGAAATGTGTAATAAAATAAAATTTACTTTACACTCGAGAGTACTCAAACATACACTGTACATGTACATGTAACATCATGATAATGATTCCATCTTCATTATCTCCGCAACAGGTACGCCATACGCACCGACTACATGGTGTGTGTGGCACTGTGTGCACGTGCGCGCTTGCGTGCGCGCGTACATATACACACTCTCATGCGTGGCCGAGTTGGCCGGATGAACAGACCACGCATTTGCACGAGGTGTCCGTCATGTCATTGGAGTGCTGTACTTTATGACTCGGGCGTAGGAGGGGTTTTGGAAGTGGTACGACCGAAGGTCGGTGCGGCGGAAGGCCGTGTTGGAGGGGGTCCGCCCCCCCCCCCCCCTGGGAAAATTTTGTAAAAGACACAAAATCCTGCGTTCTGGGAACTTCTGGCACACTTCTGGCGCAGTGTGCAGTCGAGTACAGTACTCAGTACGACTGCAGATGCATAACAGATCTATGAGTACGAGTCTAGAAAAAGGTCTGATGCGCATATGCAAATACCGATGGATCCTGATTTTTTATTACGGTTTTGCACGTTCCAGACGGACCACACTTTTCGAAAAGTGGTGCGGCCATGGTCGTACCAGTCGTAGCGGGTGCTACGACCCTGTGACTTTATTCCAAAATAGTATGTCGTGCCCCTGTCAAATGGAGTTTGTGTCTATGCTCAGCGGGTATCGGGCCATGACGCCACACTGCAGTCAGCGCTGGAATTAAAATAGCACTTCATGGATTATTTTAACTAATTTCCTTTGCGTTTACTTTGTTGAGCCCGTGGTTTCATTTCTGTGTTCTGTTATGATTGGCCTCTGGAAATAATCGGAGTGGATGTCATTTTTTGTCATATGTGTGTGCCTTGTGCAACAGGTTCAAGGCTAGATGCACTTCACATTCGGCGTGGGATCTCGGCGTCTGGGACCTGATAACGTCTTGGTTGGATGGGTGATCAAGGATGATACTACTCGGCACACCAATGTACATGTCAATGTAGTTTTACATTTTCAGAGCTGCACTATTTACGTCTTGATGCTTACTTCGGTGCTAGTGTCGTGTCCGTGTGTTGCTACAATGTCATTATCTGTATTGTATTCCGTCTGCTTATACATGTGTCTTTATGAAGTGTTTGCCGTGGCGGCGATGTGTCTTGTCGATCAATAGTGTTGTGAAACCTATCACTATTCTTGCTTTGCTGGCTACTCGCTCCGCGCCGTGCACGCTACTAGGTCTTGTAGTATATAGCTCGATGCTTTGCATCGATCGCTGGTTGTTGTTGTTCTTGTTGCTTCTGTTGTTTGAGCTTGGTCCTAGAGTGAAGCTTTGGTCTTCTTGTGTGGTGAGGGTGAGGAATGGGTATCTGGACTCCTGGTATATTTCCGTAAAGAACCTGGAATTGTAGAATCCTGAAAGTATGTCTGGCCCACTCCCCGGTCATGACATTAGCGTGTTTCCCCCGGATTATTTCTATCATCCTGCGTGTTCTTGGGCTGAGCGAGCACATGCACGAGTGTACAGCTATAACCCTGTGTATCTTTGGTTACACTTTGTTCTGCAATGCATGTACCTTGTAACAGTCTGTGCTTGCACTGCTTTGTGTGGCCTGCGTATTTCAGGACTATTCAGTGCATCACACCCAGGTTGGTTTGGTTGCCGGATGATCTCTTGTTGCGTCGCTCTGTGTTTTGTATTAATCAATTTTTGGGCTTGAGAATTGAGCTGGTGTGTGGTTCCCAATATGAAAACATCATGCTGGTGCTCTGTGTTTCGATTATCGACTGTCCGAGCAGTCACGATTCATTACCAAAACGGTCAATACTGTAGTCTCTTCACGTGTTTGTGTTTTCGCCGGGGGAATTAGTGGTGACGTTGCACATAGAACGGCAGTGTTGCATCACTGGACGACCCTGCCTCTGCATCTGACTTCATTTCCCCAGGATCTGGTGCAGATACACCAGACAGTCACTTCCTGTAAACACGCAAACAGCAAAAGAAGAGATCCCGCAAATCAGGAAAACCCATTGCGGAAAATATCGAGTAGATCATACACCATTCAATAATCTGGAGTAATTACAGTGAGACAAAACACTTCAAACAGTGCTCTCTCTCTCTCTCTCTCTCTCTCTCCATCCTTCCAAAATACACTCTGTAACAATTCCCTGGAATTATTTTATTTTATATTCTCAGGACATCATTCTGAACAACTTCTTCCATGGGTCTTCAATCACCACGGAGGGCGAGAATACAGCTAAGCCATGCAGTCTACGAGAGGTGCGGGCTGTCATGGATATAGAGGCTGATATTGTGCCAGCGTGAGGGCAGAGACAGAAAGAAAACACTGATTTCTTGAACAACTCACCTACATAATCGAATCCACAGGGAGCGCTCGTACTTTGATCCATCAGGAGGCGAAGAATCTTCAAAGCACTCTCAAACACGGAGTTTTACAGTGGGCAGCCAATTTCACAGCCATTATGAAGGCCCTCGACGACTACAGGAGATTTGTAGAGGAAAGAACAAGGAGTAAAGAGCGACAACAATCGCTTGACGAAAAAGCAAAGAAAAACTGCTCTCTCTCCAGTCATTTAGATGCTGTTGCCCTTCACAACTGGTTCCATCCAGAGGACGCGACTTTTGTTTGTCCCCAGTGCTCTCCGTTGCTATGCGTATCGAAGGGGCCGTGACGTCACACTTAACAGCCCCATCAGCATAGCACCACCACGGCACGTGTACGTGTGCGTGTGTGTCGTGCATATCGCGCATGCGATATGCATTATACATCATAATCATGTGCACATGCGTGTACGTGTACGTCATGCACGGCCTTCCTAGTAGGCTTTTCCGGATTATGCGTTTTTTCTTGGTCTAAAATGGAAATGGAAAGTTTTTTGAAAAACCCCTATAAATCAAAAAAATTCTAAAGAAAATGCAAAAATTTACCCAAAAAGCACAAAAAATGCCACCGTTGCCATGGTAACAAAATGGCGACAGCTAGTCGCGTGACATTTGGCACCATGGTGATCATTCATGGTGATCGTGAAGTACCTATCGCTTGCAGGGAGTCGTAAAATACCGGTATTTTACGACTCCCTGGCCCAAACTAGTCCAAAGTGCAAGTGGGTCAAAATGGACAAAATGCATTTTGACCCCCAAAATGCAAAAATATGCAAACACATAATCCGGAAAGGCCTAGCCTGCAGGGTACAACTTACTAGCCTGTTTGACCTTTTTTGGGTGCAGTCCTGTCACTCGAGTTGAACTCGAGTTGAACCTTGGTGTGAAAGTTGTCGCCTGCTGGCGCGGTGACCAGGTGATTTGGGCACCCAGGAGCACGTGACCGCTTGTTCAACCATGTTCGATTGGGAATAAAGGAGGAACGCTGCATCGCAGCCTTTTCGGACCAAAACCAGTCGACTCAGCGTCCAAAAGACTACAACATATGGGTCAATCGCGGTCATCCGTGCTTTTATAAGAACGAAATGGCGCTTTTAGTGACATTTTGCATACAAATCCCCATCTCGTGGGGCGCAGTCACCCAGTTTCGGTGGAAGTGCGCGAGTTCGATTGGGATTCAAGTAGGAAGAGAGCGTCGCAGCTTCCTCGGACCAAGACCATTCGACTCAGCACCCAGAAGACTACAACTGGTGAAAATTTGATTTTAGGGTATACTTCCCCTTTAAAGTGGCATATCTGCAGCAAACTGGCAATATGGGTGCTTTTGATGCCGTCCGTAAATATCGATGTTTTTTTAGAGACGATATTGGTGCGTCTGAGCCATGTGCGTCTTTTCGAGCATCAGAAAAATATCGATGTAAATATCTGAAGTTTCGCCGATCCCTGCACGCGGACGTCTAAATGGCTATACAAGAAATGTGAAACCAGCTTCCGTTCGCGGAGCTAAAACTCGCGACACAAGAACAAAATCAAAAATTGGAAGCTGTACGCCCATGGCGAATTTCAAGAGCAAAAGAATGAGCTATTGATTGTGGAAATCGGCCGAACGATGGCTGCAGGAGACCTTCTCATGCAGCACAAGAAGGCTGTTGGCCCCAAGTGTTCTCGAGGGCGACCAAAAAAGTCATAATGCTCTCCTTCTCAATTAGACCATAATAAATACTGCAAACTTGCCATCTTGGGTTCATATTATTGACAAAAA